AGGGTGTTTTTAATATCGTGCGGATATCATCACGCGTGCGGGATTGCCCCGCATGCGTAAGCCCCGCAAATGTCCTTTTCATAAAAGTATTTATTATAATGCGTGGAATACGGACGCGGGACGCGGGCATTATAATAAATACTTTTATGAAAAGGACATTTGCGGGGCTTACGCATGCGGGGCAATCCCGCACGCGTGATGATATCCGCACGATATTAAAAACACCCTAACTTGAGAACGGCTAGACCGATTTGGCTGATCTTTTCTTTTTGTTGTGTTTGTTATTGTCAGGAGAAGGTACTTACGACAGAAAAAATCCTGAAAATACTACGCGAATGGAAAAAACGGGACTGCGCGTACGAAGTCGCGGGCAAAAGTTAGTTAACAAGTTAGCATAACATATTAGTAAGTTACACAATCTGTTACTTCTTTTTATGCTGAAATTAAGTAAATCTTCAGGTTATAGAGGTGTTAATAAAATAAAACAAGTGTATAACTACACAAAAATGTATTTTAGTCAATCTGATGGTCGCAATAACATTGAACTCGTCGTCGTATACATGTGTGTCGCGCCGCCCCGCCCGTCTATGGGAACTATGTTAACATTACTTTATAACCATTATAATAAATAATTTATCGTGAACGAGTAAGAAACGTGCGATCGGTGGCGGCACGCGAAATTACAATGTTCCACAGCGTTAAAACATCAATTAAATTTTCGTTTTTATCTCGTATACTGTTTCAGATATTTTGTTTTAGAACACATTAACTTATTCTAGCATTTTTCATATCCAAACTATCACTAAGTGGAACTAATTTAAGTTACAATCGTTAAGATCTTGTTATGCTTCGATGAAAATGTACGACGAAATGAAATAACATTCAACTTATGGCTAACAAGTAAAATAAAATTGTGCTACCAACATCATAGCACCACGACAGTTAAAATATTTTGTTCTGATATTCACAACTCCTGATTTACCGTCACTTAGACCGATGTTACATCTTACAGACCGAATACGTGATTCACATACTATGAGGTCTGTTGTACAGCCGGCCTCTTACACAAACCTGCTTGAAAATAACAATAATAATAGACTGGTATTTTAAAACGATTCCACATTTAAATCAGTTCATGCCAAGTTGCGTGTGCGCGATACTAACACAACCATTGCTAATAAAATATTAAAATTGCACACAAGACCGTGCGCCCGCGCTCACGTGTTGTGATACTTGGAGCAATACTACTTTCCGACATAATAGTTAGTAATCCAACAATAATAAACGTATATAAAAATATAATTATAAATATATATTGCGTATACATAGGTTTATATTGTAGTGCAGTGATCGTGCTCGTACTAAGAGTTATTATTTAACACTATCTGTACTTATTTTATAATTATAAAATGCGTGTTTAATATTATTGTTGGAGTAGACCGGGCGTGTGAAGACCATTTTGTTTTCACTTGTACAGCGTATACATCGTCGCATGAAAGCATCGCATGTTTCATGTCGTTAGTTTGCATCTCATGAGTTGAGTGTCGGTAAGTAGTACAGTTTCCAAGCGTGGCAGTCCACGGACGCACTCGTAGAGGACACTAGTCAGCACAAAATATCTGAATACTTACAGTTAAATATTACACTAGTTTCACTTACATCTATCGTATAATTATAACCACCGTAGAGTAAAAGATTATTAGAACGAATAGAAACACGAGATCCCCGCCGTATCGATGTGATGATTTACTTTTGTATATAAATTACTAATACTGCCCAAATAATTACTTTCCGAAAAACAATAAAATATAAACAAATAGATTTTAAAACAACTTCTCGAATTAAAATCATAATACTATAAAATAGTTGCCATTGAAAATTAATTTATAATAAAATGACTATATTATTATTATAATAAAAATAAATTGTATATTATAAACGTTAAACAAATACTGGGTGCCAGTCGTATAGTTTGTAATACAAATAAAAATACGATTCATTACATTTCCTTCCAAAAATATCGCTAATAATATTATGTAGTCTAAGGTATATTGTGTAGTATACAATGTCCTATGTTCTAAGGCTAGGCGCGCCGGCCGGTGTCGCGCCGGCGTCGGTAGCGGTCGTAAGTATAGTCTGACCTACTTAACATAATAATAGTTAATGTAAATGGCAATTCTGTGGAAGCTGCACAATTTATGCGTCATACCCGTAACCTGGAACAATACACAGGCGACTGGTTAGTTGCGTGTTGTTTGGGAAACTTCATTACAAAAGTCATCATTCATCAAACAATGTCAGTCGGGTTCACCTGAGGGTCGGGTGCGGCGGAGCACCTACGGCGACAGGTCCTGGTGCATGGGGTCGTAGCCCATGGAGCCGTCGTAGCTGGGCTGCGGCTGGTCGTAGCCCGGCGCCGGCAGCGAGTAGCCCATGGAGTCCTGCGTCGGCGCCGGCGACATCATCGGCGTGGCCGTGCCGGACGCCGCGCCCATCGAGTACGGCGACGCGCCTGCAGCTGCGCACGCGCATCACTCATGTATACGAGTATTACTAGTAGGGGGGACCTACCACGTGTGTGGGAATCTCGCATCGGGGTTTAACATTTATGTCAAGAATGCATTTAAATAGAAAAAGTATGAACAGGCAATATATACAGTATATAGATAAAAGATCCCCACGACACGATGAATTATTATTGGTTTTAAGTAGAGATATTTGATCAGTGTATTGTCAGCGCCAAGCGCTGTGTAATGCCGTATGTAAGGCTACATACGCACTGAGAGGCTTCCTGCACGTCTAGAGCCTAATGTGACATTTGGCTATTCAGAAATACATAGGTGGACAAAACGAATGAGCCAGATGGCACGAAAGGTTATAGCCGTTTAGGCCCTTGTCATACGAGAGTTCTTTGGACTCAGATATGCGACTAATATCCTTTAGCCATCAAACGCGGGTATGAAACGGGCCCTACACCGTCAATCAGTGCGAATTAGCCTAAGTCTAGTTAATGTCTATGATTTACTGTAATATGCCGAAGCTCTGGCGGGCGGTGAGCTAGCATCGCGCCCCGCGCCAACCCAAGGCAAGTCTGTGTGCGAAAACATATCTCTATGTAACGCACTCTGTACCCACACACTTAGCAAACAAGGAATGGAGGTGCAATGGTGAGAGAGATCTACGTTAATGTAGAATTTACTGATTAGATGCTCAAGACATAGGATGAATACTTGAAAATACAATGACGCAAGTCTCAATAATTAAATATTTTGCACGATTTGACACAACTGATTGCAATATAGCTAGTATAACGAGGTAGTATTGAAACTACCTTAATAGTAGAACCATATGAAACAGTTTACATACCGGCAGCTTTCTTAGCGGCGTACAAGTTGGCCTCCTCCTGCGCCTTGCCGATGTTCTTCTTGTAACGAATGCGCTTGTTACCGAACCAATTCGACACCTGACGAATACACGAGAATGTTGGTTACTTTAATTAATAGGATAATTGTTTTATGCTACAGCTGTTATAAAAACATAAATACATTTATTTAATTTAGTCTTGAGTCGGTTAACCGAAACATGAAGGCGATTATTTGATATCCAATAAGGTCGACGAAGAATGAAGTTTCCACCATGTCTGATCTCAATATGCTAATTTTCCCTTTCTGTCGGAAGAACAATACATGTATCTTTTGAAAACGTCACTCCGGTACGGAATAGAGCTGTTTTTCATTGCTTAACGAGCCGACACAGTGATTTACTGTGCGATTGTAAGTGTAACAGTTGTATACAAGATTAATGCTTGGCTCCAAGTTGTGGTTAAAAATTACCTAGCCATGTCGTCTACTGTATTCTCACGTTCAACAATAGGGCCGTCACGTATTTTGAGCCGTGTCGTGTGACTATGGGGTTGCCAACTCTATTTGAATTTACTAACAAAGTTCTATTTAATGCCAAATTAGTGATGTTATTCGTCGGTATTTTAGAGATAAATCGAGTTTAGGTTGCTAATGCATGCAATGCAATACATTGTTGAAATGGTGGCAGCTATTCCTGTGCAACGAATCATGCCCCTCTGAGACTTGGCAACCCCAAGTACCTGCGATACAGTAATCCCACAGTTCCTGGCGAGCTCCTCCTTGACCTCCTCGCTGGGGTAGGGGTTGGCGAGGTGCGAGTAGAAATACTCGTTGAGCAGCTCGAGCGCTTGCTTGGTGAAGTTGCGCCGCTTCCGACGCGAGTCGAGGAAACTGAAAGGGGAAGTGACGTCACGGTACCTGGGACACGGTAATGCCGCACTTCCGCGCCAGCTCCTCTTTCGCCTCCTCGCTGGGGTAAGGGTTGGACAGGTGCGAGTAGAAATACTCGTTGAGGATCTCCGACGCTTGCTTGCTGAAGTTGCGGCGCTTGCGACGCGCGTCCAGGAAACTGCAAGCGGGAATTCCGATATTTTGTTTTTGATAGTTTTAAAGAGGCCAAAGTTGAGCTGGTTAGCACGAAATGTTTTGAGAATATTCCAATACTTAGACTCGAGTAATAATTTTAAAAGTATGCTAGAAAATCAAGTGCTTTCACTGCACCATTGCAGAGAAAAGTATTCATAAATCAATACTTTCACATTTGGTCACCCGGATTGCTTATATAACTATAACTACAGAACCAGACTAGATAGTATCGAACTCAATAACTACAAGTAGCAACTGACCGTGAGCGCAGTATCATGACGGCCTCGCAGGTGGACTGCTTCAGTTGCATCTGGATGGAACTGAACTTCTTGTGAATGATCTGCACCATGCGCTCAATTTCCTACAAAACAATAACCTATCATTAATGTTGAATGTTTAGTGCTAAACATTAATATAATGAAAGAAAGATAGAACATTTCACTTTGTATTTGCACTGATTGGGTATAACAAAGCAAATTAGAAAAAGAAAAACCTAGCTGCTTCTAAAAATTTCCAACAATATTTACTCAAACAAAAATAAAGGATATTGTATAGGCGAGCATACCTTAGGCGTAATAGGTCTGGTGCGACTCTGCTCGCGCAGTAAGTTCATCACGTGGGTGGTGAACTCATTGCAAGCATTCTCATACTTGTCCAGCTCCTGGTGGTAGATCTGGCGGATCTGCGCCAGCTTCGCACGGTAGTCAGAGTGCTCGATCGCATTGTCTAGTGACACAATGGAGTATATAATTTAAGGGGTCATCTATAAATTATGTCACACGAATTTCATGATTTTTTGCCCCTCCCCCTGTCCTTGTCACAGCTAGTAACATTTGTGACCAATGTGACGTCACACAGGGGGGGGCCTGTGTGACGTCACATTTTGCAGAATTACGTATGTATAAAAAAAGAAAGAAATCAGTTTTATTTCTATTTAAATTATTAAAAAAATATATTAATACCAAATCAAACAAAATAAAAAACATTAATATAATTACATTTCGTGTTTTATAAATAAGCTTTTAAAATGTGACAACTCAAGGTTTAGGATCCCTCCCTACCTCTTGTCGCACAATATCACACTTCGTCGACCCCCTCCCAACCCCTTAACGTGTGACGTAATTTATGGATAGCCGCTATGGTATTTTATCTAAAGAGAGCTTACTTTCCTTTTATAAAATATTTAGTTTACTTAATCAACTTCATCAGGTTTATATCTTAGTTTTAATATTAGTTCAAATTATATTAGAGTTATAAATACCACTGATTTCTTCAAGTAACAAAGCTGTGCTAAGTTTCAGTGTTTAATTAGTGTAATCATTCAATACGTTCAACTGAAACATGTTAAGAATTACAATAGAATAATTAATAATATTAGCTGTGCTTGTGTGCTTCTGTTAATAGATTTAGTTTAGAATGCGTCCATATTTACAGTTTAAATGTAAAGAATTAGACATATATTATGTTTACACAGTGTGTTTACATAGTGTCAGAATATTTTTACATTCAAAAGATTTAAGGAAACATTCTACTTTCGTAAGCTTATATTGTTAACACATAATTATGTCTTCCATGTCTCATATACAACTACTGTACAGGTGAAGTTATAGTTTATTTACATTATATTCTTTATTATATTAATCAATATCAATGTAGTATAAACAACCTTGGAGGATGAATGGTCTGTTGATATTACTGGCAATTGAAAAGCAATAAACTTAATGTGTTGTATTTCAAAATTAGCATTTTTATACATTATGTTCATCATTGAATGCCAATCAATACAGATAACTGTAGAAAATTTTAAAACAGGATAATTTGTAGACCCAAAAACTTTATTTTTATGCAAAAAAGGCTAAGTTAAATATTTACCATACCTTTTAACTTGTTGAGTACCGTCAATATAGACACAATTAAAGAACAATAGGTTGCGGTCACCGGTGACCGCTTGGTGTTCAACAGTTTAACTCGTTGAGTACCGTCATTATAGACACAATTATAGAACAATAGGTTGCGGTCACCGGTGACCGCAACCTATTGTTCTATAATTGTGTCTACAAAACCGGTACTCGATGAGTTAATCCCTAAACAAGTACAACATGTAATGTTAATGTAACACGTTTTTCTATTAGAAAAATTCTTAATGTACCCTCGACTGAGTATGGAATTAAATACACCATAAAATGTACTTAAATAATGTGAAAATATTTACCCCATTCACCAGCAGCAGCTGAGGCCGAAGCCGCAGCGCCCGCACCACCACCCTTTTCAGGGCCAGCAACCCCCTCGGCTATGAGCATATTGTCCAAGCGCATCAGCTGAGGATCTGGGGGCTCCTCCTCTTGCGTGTTGCGGAGGGAGAGCACTAAGAGACAAATTAAAAATAGTTGTGTATTTTTCAAATTCTGTACATAAACGATGAAGGACTTTTTAGATACTTTATAATAAATATTATGATAAAGTATGGGAAAAAAGTTACCTCAACTAAATTAGCCAAGTTCTACAATCAATATTAAAATATTTTTATGGATTATGTACTGAATTCATGTTTATTTCTCCTAATTCACGTTCATGAAACAAAGCCAGTGAAACCGAGAGCTCGTGGCGCATGATGGCATTCATTAAAATACAACACAACCGCGTAGATCCAGAAGCCACTAATATAAATACGTCAGCTTGCTTACCTGTTTTCTCTTTGATTTCACACAACACTGAAAATAGGGCAGGCTTCATTCTGTGACAGTTGAGAGTGTGTTTTCTCGCTTGCGCTTCATCGAGACTCTGATCTGTAATATTCATGATCTGTTGCAATATTTCTCCAATGTCTTGCTTGCGGGCTTCGCCTTCGCCTGCGGTAGGAGTTCCCTCGCCGCCAGGCAGGCCGTAGCCCTGCGGCCCCATAAGCCCGCCGCTATGCGCCATCATCCTATTTGGATCGTCCATTGCGTCTTCCGACTCAATACATAAATACACCTAAGCTTACTCTAAGTACGTATACGATTTTGTACGTTGTTAAAACGGATGTTTAGAAAAATAACTTAATAAAAATACAACAATGCTACTGGGCTATAAGCCACAGCTTCACCCCCCGTTCACCAACCAGCAATAAAATGGCCGCCTCCTTTGTGCTGTCAAATCTGAAATTATTTGAAAAAGAAAACAAATAATTAAAACTGTTCCTATCACGCTTCATCTCGCAAACATTTACGCAGTGATTTAGAGTGCGAAAGAGATGCTAAATCACAATGTTGCCATTCTGTTTTAGGTTGATTATCTTAAATATCGTGTGAAGACTAGATTTCTAACGTATAATATAGATATTTAACCTAAATAATAACAGAAATTCATATTAAAAAAGGAAGTAACTTGATTATCCTAAATCCTAATATTTATTCTAAAATAATTTCGTAATGAAACTCAAAGTTTCAAATGATTTCAACATAATAAGTGAACGCAGTTTAATGTGTGGCATACTTTTTGACATTCACCTGTCAAAATATCTTGATTTCGTTTCATATCTGCGAAGGTTATATTTTGAGCCTATTGATTTTGTTCTTAACGTTTCACTCCCCTTAGCAACCCGCTTTGTAGATCACTTTCATGCTAAAACTACAACGAAAAAGGGACTGTAAGTTGTGAAACCAAAGTGACTGGGATTTCGTCATTTACCACGCGATCAAAAAGCTAATAACCGGCTACCAGATGGCTTAATAAATTAAAAGGAAGAGTACTTGCTCTCACTTAAATGAGACACGTTGTAGCTTTATTATATAAGTGTAGTGTATTTAGTAAACAAATTCCTATCCTCTGCAATCAAGTCAGATTATCTCATATTGAGTGGGGTAGCAATAAACTTCACAGGAAGATTAAAATACCAAATCCACTAAGGGAAATTATCATGGCTGATCCTAAAATTGAAGAAATCTTGGCGCCCCTGCGCGCCAGCGTCAAGGAACAGGGCGACTTGGTGAGGAAACTCAAACAAGAAAAAGCTCCTGAAATTGACATAAAGAAAGCTGTTGCTGAACTTAAAGCAAGAAAGAAAGTTTTGGAGGACAAAGAACTGAGTCTCGCTCCCGCCGAAGAGCTATTTGATCGTGCTAAGATGGAGGATCTTATCAAAAGAAGGTTCTTCTATGACCAGTCCTTTGCTATCTACGGTGGTATCACTGGCCAATTTGATTTTGGTCCCATGGGATGCGCCCTAAAAAGCAATATGATCCAACTTTGGAGAAAATATTTTATTCTGCAGGAACAGATGTTGGAGGTGGACTGCTCAATTCTGACACCAGAACCAGTACTTAAAGCTTCTGGACATGTGGAACGGTTTGCAGACCTTATGACTAAAGATGTCAAGTCTGGGGAGTGTTTCCGCTTGGACCACTTGATTAAGGCTCATCTTGAAAAAGTAAAAAGTGAGAAAAATTCAACTGCTGAGCTTAAAGCTGAGATTGAAGATATTCTTGTTAAGCTTGATGGTATGACAGCTGACCAAATGGCAGCTTTGATGCAGAGGTTCCAAATGAAGTCACCTATTAGCGGCAATGATTTGACTCCACCAATTGAGTTTAATCTTATGTTCAACACTCAGATTGGCCCCAGTGGTTTAGTTAAAGGTTTCTTAAGACCTGAAACTGCTCAAGGCATATTTGTCAACTTTAAACGACTTTTAGAATTTAACCAGGGCCGTTTACCATTTGCTGCTGCCCAAATTGGAAATTCTTTCAGAAATGAAATATCTCCTCGTTCTGGTTTGCTCAGGGTTAGGGAATTCACTATGTGCGAAATTGAACACTTCTGTGACTCTAAAGACCACCCTAAGTTTGAATCTGTAAAGGACACTCAGATGCTGTTCTATTCTGCTGATAATCAGGAACAGGGAAGACCTGCAGAGATCATGACCATTGGTGATGCTGTTGCTAAAGGTATTGTGAATAATGAGACTCTGGGCTATTTCATGGCAAGAATCCATTTGTACATGTTGGCGGTCGGCATTGACCCTAAAAAGCTGAGGTTCAGACAGCATATGGGTAATGAGATGGCTCACTATGCTTGTGACTGCTGGGATGCTGAGTGTCTCACCAGCTATGGCTGGGTGGAATGTGTAGGCTGTGCCGATAGATCTGCCTATGATTTGACCCAGCATAGCAAAGCAACTGGCATCAGGCTAGCCGCTGAAAAGAAACTACCAGCACCTAAACAAATTGAAGTGGTTGAAGCTGTGCCTAACAAAGCAGCTATTGGCAAAGAGTTTAAGAAAGATGCTAAAATCATAAATGACGGATTAGCTGCTATGGACTCTGCTGAGTTAGAAAATTTGCAAGCCAAGTTAACTGGTGATGGAGAATACATCTTATCCACACCAAATGGCGAATTTAAACTAACGCCAACCCTTGTTAGTGTGAAGAAGACTCAAAAAACAGTCCATGTTGAGGAAATTATTCCAAGTGTAATTGAGCCTTCATTTGGTGTTGGCAGGATCCTTTATTCAATCCTAGAACATAATTTCAGAATGAGAGAAGGTGACGAACAGAGGACCTATTTCTCATTACCAGCCACAGTAGCACCTATGAAGTGTGCAGTATTACCCCTCAGTGGCAACACTGAATTCCAACCATTTGTCAGAGAACTGTCCCAGGGTTTGATTAACGCCGATGTGTCGCACAAGGTCGACGACTCCTCTGGTTCAATTGGTCGCCGATACGCTAGAACTGATGAACTGGGTGTGCCTTACGCTATTACCGTCGATTTCGACACCATAAAAGAACCCCATTCTGTTACATTGAGAGAAAGAGATAGTATGGCACAAGTGAGACTCCCTTTGGATGATGTAGCTGCTGTTGTGAGAGATTTGTCTAACAGCAAGATCTCTTGGTCTGATGTGGAGCAGAAGTATCCTAAGTTTGAGCAGCAGGAAACTAAGGGTGCTGCAGCATAGGCTGATGCAATAGAAGAATCTAAAATGTTCCATTGAAAATGTATTTATTATTAGCTTATAAGCTTGTCTGCTGTTCTCCAGTGAGATTCAATTTAAATTTTTTTCAAGCATTTTTATTTTTGCAATGGAATAAACAATTGAAAATACTTTAGCCAATAATTAATTTTATTTCATACTAGACACACCCACGCTGTTTCACCCACTACTCAGCTGTTATTGATTGTAGGGTAATGTGTTTTATAAATGGACTATACAACACAAAATTTGAATTTGATTCAAATAATTACTGTTGTGTCGCGTCTATTAGGGTGTTCAGAAACAAACCAACTCTTCAGCTTTATATCAAAGAATATTTTGATTTATTTACACATTTTGGTAACAGTACTAATAATAAATGAAAGAAAATACGAAAATTCAGAACATCATTATTATTCATTTGTAAGGAAGGACACAATAATAAATCATCTATATTTTGCTGAACATTATCTAAAGCGGCGATCCCTAGACCGCGATCGATGACGCTGTCGGTCACGTGACCGCGATCTATCACGGTGGCGGTCGCGACGGTCTCGATCCCTGCGATCTCGTTCGCGTTCCCGATCACGATCTCTATCGCGGTCGCCGCGATCGCGCTCTCTATCACGTTCGCGATCACGGTCTCGATTCTCGCGATCGTCGCGTCTCATTCTGTCTTTTGAATACCTGAAAATGTGGACTCATTTATGTATTATGTTCTACTGTTTTGTTCTGATTCATATTTCAATTGAAATGTTACAAAATCTACCTGTCGCTCTCTCCATAATCTCGTCTATCTCGATCGTCGTGCTCTCTTCGGTCGGAGTCCATCCTGCTAGGGTTGTAGGCACCAGTCCCACCCCCGCTGCCCGCACTATTTCCACCATTGCTGCTGTTACCACCTCCACCGCGATAGTTGGCTGCAGGCTTCGTGGCTGATGTCTGCCTATTGTGCTCTGCTAACCTAGTATTTTGAAAAGTAAAATTATATTAATTTCAAGTCTTGTTTAATTATACTTATGTAGTTTTCTCATTATCTAAATAAGCTTGATAAATAATATCAGAGAACTGTTTATGGCAAAGTGTAATTATAATAAATTCCTGTTAATCCACACAGCTCAGGACAGCCGCGTGTCGACCGAAGACCGCAAGCCATGCTAGAATCATGACAGGATACTCAGTTATGAGAAACAAATATATTAACAGGAGAATAAAACAAGATAGGAAATTATACATCAAAAATTAGTTCTAATAAGAACCATATTTTATCATTAAAATGATATTCCTAACTTAATGTAAATGACTCCAATATCCACTGTATAAAAAGTACCAAGTTACCTACTTCTGTTCAATCTGCTTCTGTATGGGTACTGGTATTCTGGGGAATAATGTGCTGAACCAGTCCAGTTTGATGAGCATCTGTCTCACCAAGGCACCGATGGTTGTGGAGCCTCCACCTCCAGCACGAGGGTCTATTTCCTCTTCATCATCTAAGTAGTCTGCATACCAGTCGAAGAGATCTGCTGGTGGTTGTGTGTAGCGAATGTACATAAATCCTGTAATAATAAGGATCTTGAAGAAACTTACCAGACAATATGAATATCCATTCCATTAAAAAATAAATATACTCATACCTACCAAGTGCTCTGATGTAGGGGGAGTCAGAATGCTGCAACAGGCCATTGACCTGTTTACGAGTGAGCCGTAGAGTGTACAGTTTGTACAGAAGACAGAATGCAGTGGACACAATGCCACCGGCACCCACACCACGAACCTGAAAATAGTCACTTTGGTTTCAACTATTTCAAAACTTCTCAGATTGACACTAAAGCTCAATTATATTCAAATCTGCACACAAAATTACAAAGGCTTGCAAACATGTTTGTGCAAAAATTTACATTCACAATGAATTTTGCTAAACTACAAATTGGAAAACCATGACAAAAAGTTTCATTATTAATAACTTATTGTGGTAAGTTTGATGAGTTAAATATGATGTAATAATGTAGTAGGTGGTCTCAAACAATACAGTGTAACAAACAAAGTATGACACAGTTGAACATACTCACGCCGCCACACATGCCCGTCTGGCCGGCAGTCTTGCGGCTCCCTCTCTCCCATGGCTCCAGGTGCTTCACCTGGTAGTAGATCTCATCCACCACCTCATGGTATGTCTTCAACTTGAACAGGTGTACTGCAGAGAGTAGAAAATGTATGTTAGATTAAAAATTAAACACACATTCCTTGTTTTAGATGTTACTGTTTCAACTAACTACATTCAGATTTAAACTACTTTTTATAAAACAAAATACATTTCCTCAAAGTACGTGGTGCTTAGCTCGTTGTTACAAAATTTCAAATCAGATTATAAGATGAAACAAAAAAAGCGGGAAAATGTGTATAGAAGATATGGCAGAACAACTTTTTGAGTTAGAAAGAAACAGTAACAGAAAAATAACGGTAACGAATGAAAGTACATAAAAGTGGAACAAACGAAGTCCAAGCTCCTGTGCGTTGGTATGTTTGCTTACCTACCTTTGAAGTAGCTAGAGCCCTGTATATTTGCTAATATTAGTGGGTTCAGGTTCATAGTTTGTTCATTACCCCATATTGGTAATATATTATGCTGCTTGCCCGTCTTTGCAGGCTTTTGCTGGCTGTACTCTGAAAATCAACAAATATTAGTGGGCCAATCCAAATGCTAATCACTCCAACAAAACCACGATACTCACCTTCAACTTCAGACATTATACTACTTATAACACTATACTTATCATGTAAAATATTAATTATAATGCTAATAGCACCGTCTTCACAAATTAAAGTAAAATAAGCAAGATTTTAACCTTAAAAAACGATCTAATTAATGATTTGGGTTTTTCACAATTTGACAAAACAAAGTAAACCACAATGGCCGCCAATGAATGAAATGAACGATGATGGAATTATGGAATAGAACTTCACGAAGTAACAAATAAATAAAACGGAAGTACTGAATGATTTTCTTCGATACTTAAATATTGCCATATAGAATATGAAAAAAAATTGTGCCAAAAAAAATTTTTTAGCACAATATTTTTTCATAGTAGAACTTCTCTTACAATATTCGAGTGTCACTATACTCTTTGAGTGTCACTGAAATGATAAATGAGTGAGCATCGTGCTTAGCCGATTTGTTCCTTGCGCAATAAACAAGAATACTTCATCAAATAGTTCAAATTCGAATTTATTACTACATACCAAATGAAATGGTACCAAAATTAACTGCGTCTACTAAAATGCATTATGAACATTTGCCTCTCACATCACATAAATGTACATTACTATATTTAATTGTTCCCCCTATACTTATTCATACTTTTTCGAGATAAATTCTCACCTTTGTCTTTTTCATATCAGTGCCTTTGTCCCATGGAGTAAGACAACATGCTTTGATCCCTGTATTCTATTGTTTACTCCTTTTTACAAATTCAGCAGTCAATTGGTTAAGACTCAATAATAAATCATTCCATTTAGTGTACAAAGATTCTTGAGTTATACTGGTTGTGGTCTTTGGAATAAGTAAAATGAAACAACTCTTTTGAGTATTTTTATTTTATTAATAGGTAATCAATGTATTTTATGCATTTGATAATCACAGGACGAGTTGGCTTGTTGAATACCCCAAAAAGAAATAAAAACAAAATTTCAATCTTATAGTTTACTTAAATATTAAGTTAGTTGTAAAATTAACATTATATTTTAGTTGATCAGACTCCATTGTATGCTATTGATAGTAGAGTTCCAGGTTCATGCCATCATGTATTTCATCTGAGTGTAGGTGTTAAGGAATTCCTAGTTGCTTAAAATTTGCATACATATATTTAATATACTATTAATTAGGTATTTTATACACATACTCATTAAAAGATCGGTCTTTGCGTTTAAGCATCATTCTATTACCTTTACTTCTCATCTACTGTTATAAGAGACACAATAAAAAATAGACAGTGTTTTGATTAAACTCTGTTAGACATCAAAATATTTTATTTAGAGCAAATTCTTAATTTATATGAGTTTAGGTTTTTAAAAAGATAATTCATAACGCTGAAATATAGAAGAATAACAAATAAGTTGCATTTGTTTCCTACCAAAATGAAGATAATGATGACTTTACAGATAGTACACATAAATAGTTGTTGGAAAAGGATACAGTCAGACAATTTGATATGGTCTTTGAATACTGTGTACCATTTCTTCAGAACAATCTTGTCGTATCTCGTGCCAGTTTGTGCTGCTATTAACTTTTTGAGGTCTCCAACTGTATCGTCAGGGTTGCATTTTACTCTCACTTTCTTTCCAAGACGATCATTACAAGTGACTTCAAGCATCTTCTGGAAAATAGGTTATGCACAAAACATTAGACAAATACAGTGTACGAATACAGTATTTTGCAACTGTTGTACACTTACAGTTTCTTTAATTACTTAGTAGAGATATGTTCACAACAAAATATTTAGGATATAGATGGATATCATGTATTGTTACGCCAAAAATCACTTTCGCACTCGCAGCAGTTTAGCGTTTAGCAAACACATAACAGTGTCAAAACTGTCAAACTGTCAATGTCAAACAAAGTTGTTCGTTCATTCATTCATAAAAATAATCATTTCGTTTAGTTTTTGCCTACAAATTTATAGATTTTACTTATTTTTCTTTTGAGTTCTTCAAAAATATTACTTAATTCTATGAATGTATAGTTATACTCAGTTCATTTTAATTTTGTTATATTCATGTTATTAAAAATGTAATCAGTAAATTACTCCAGAAAAATGGTGAAAAATATCTCGATCTTGTAGATACTAAACGCTTACATCAGTTTGACGTTTTTGGAAAACCAAGCAAACTTTGAAATGAAAACATCCGGGTCGTTTATTTTTTCTTAATTGTATACAAGTACAAATTAGGATTGACTGTTTAGAAACATCATAAGAATATATCATTATATTTAAAAATGTATTATTGTAGTTTTTATGGATACATTTCTCAAAGATAATATAAAAGACAACTAATTTGACAGGAAGTGTATTCCAACTGTCCACACGTCATTCGACGGCTGCAGACTGACGTGACGGTTCCAAAGGCAGTGAAATTTCATTTTTTAGTGAATGTGCTTGTGATACGGTTTGAAAAATGCAAATTCCAAAGGAATATGTGTCTACTGCTGAGGATATTGCTGATCAGGTACGGTTGCATTCTAATCTAGCATAAGCTTATATACTATACTGTAATTTGTAAATTGAAAACGCACTTTGGATTGGATTGTCACGTCACCGAACTTATTTTCTTGTTGGCGCTTCTTGAATGAGTTGAAATACATAGTATATAAGTTAATATAAATAGCATAACGATGGCGTTGCGTGGCTGCCAAGTTAAAGAAAAGAGCCATATCTTAAAGCGACGGCAATATTCAGCTAAAAAGCTACAACAGCTTTGTAGCTTGTAGCTTTACAAATATTTCACCCTTTAACCTACTTATCTTTTGATTTCATCAGTTAAATTGGTAGTTTCGTGGAGAACCGGTTCGTTATTTTTATTCTATGAGTCAGCATAAGTATTACATAGCAAAATTTCGGTATTTTTTCATTGGGTTTAGCTTTAATTTTGGCAAATGTGGTTCTAGTTAGAAACAGATTGTAAACAAATATTAAACATGTGGTGACCAATCAAATATAATTAGCCAGGCCCAGAACTAATCTAAATATGAAAAGTTGAGTACAAATCTACAGATAACCAGTGTATTACATTGTAAGTTTATTGTAATGTAACATTATGGAGCATGACCAATATGTACATAACATTATTGCAAAACATACTTTATCTTTGAAGTAGCCCATAACTGTAATATGAAACATTTTACTGAAATATTTTTTTTTATTGAGAAAGTAGGTAGCTCCTAATAATTTTAGTGATGAACACTTAGTGAACAAAAGTCTGGTGTTAATAGGCATAATTAGTAATGTATATTAAAATGTAATTAATGTATTATGATAAACAAAACATCAAGGAAAATAAACAAACTATCAATGAAAGTTCAATTAACTATTTTACTATTTGCTGGTAAACCTGTAAAGTTTTGTAGTAAATTGTCCACATAATATAAACTTTTACTTTTTACACCTTTCACTTCATATGACTTTGACAATCATTTTCTACAGTGTAAGATTTAATTTTGTATGTTTCTTATAAACAGTCTAGGTTTATTATAGTAGGTCCGAATCAGAAAATTACATTATGTCAATCAATAAAAAGTTAATAGATAAATTCTTTATTTTAAATAAAAATGAATACAGAAATAATGATCTTGTTTCTGGTTTTCAGGCTGTGGTGTTGTAATAGAAGCTTTAATATACCATAAAAGTTATAAAATTCAATACAAAAAAGTTTTTAAGATTTTTATGATCTTAAGATTTAACTTAATAATTCCACAGTTAAACTGTCAAATACCAAGCGGTCACCGGTGACCGCAACCTATTGTTCTATAATTGTGTCTACAAAACCGGTACTCGACGAGTTAATATTATTATTAAGATTTCTGACATAAAATTCCAGTAAGGCTATGCTTGCACTGGGTATAAAATTGAGATTTCATGATGAGAATTGAGAATATGAAAAGTATAAAGAGCAACATACTAAAATTGAGATACTCTTTGTAATCATGACAGTTTAAATAAATATGATCTAACTTATAAGATTATAAGATAAATAAATTTATAAGATTCACTACACTTGATAATATAAATTACAATTATACACATAACTATAAGCAAGGGTTCACAATCTGAAATAGTTTAGAAGGAAATGAAAATTGTGTAAAGTAGCATACTTTATCAATATTTTTTATCTTAATTTTGTAATCAGACAATAAGTTTTGTGTAATATTAATAATAAATTACATTTTGTAATATTATATACTTATTTTGATAAGCATATTATCAGCTGATAGATTTAAGACATATGTATAAATTATTTTTTATAATTTAATTATTACATAATTGCTTATATTTGCTATGAGGGTGACCCTTTAGCAGAGTATTGGCCAGTGTCCAATCATGTATTCATTTTCCTTATCTTATAATAGTAAAGTCATCATTACAGTGTTGTATTGATTACTTAGGTATACATCAAACAGTTGATATTATTAAATAAACACAGCTAAGGCTAACCATTTTAATATACTAAAAACAAAACTGGCTTGTCTTGTTGGTGATTAGCATGATTGCTCAGCATGATATTTTTGATTATGATTCCCGGGCCACCATAGTATTTTAAAAAATCTCACTAATATTAAGAAGTCTCAAATTGACCTCAATGTAGCTGCTTGCAATTACTTATGCCATGCCGTGCCTTGAACATAACTGGTTGATTTAAATTATCTGTTTTAATTAAATATGATTTATTCCACAACCATAATTCATAACAATAAAGAAATTAATTAAGTTTACTCTGTGACTGACACAATAAGAAAAATCAAGTTTATGATAGTATGTTGGTTGTTAGCTACATTTCACCATTACATTGCTTTTTCTTTGTTTACTGATGTGGGCTAATTTTAGAATGATAGGTTAAATGATAGGTGAGTTAACTGATTTTCTGTCACATAACTTATGTTTTGGGTTGTATTTTCTTGTCTGTGATTTGCTTATCAAATTACCGATTTTATGAATTGGGAATATGTAGGTTACGATAAAATGCTGAATTCGCCAATTATTGAATTTTCTTAAATTTTCCTTCAATATTTATGAAATTATAAATGCCTGAAATAATTTTATGTTAACGTTTTTCTCGTACATATTATCGAACTTTTATAATAATAATGAAAACATTATGTTAGAAACTAGTTCTTAGGCGCAATAGAAAGGAGAAAGTGTGTTGGACGACTGGTTACTTCATCACTTACGCCTAACTATTGGGTTGTACTTCCGTTTGCCGAAATTATCTTTTATTCTAAATACGAACTAGGAAGCTATATACCTTATTCTTTTAATATTATGAATGAAAACTATAAAACTGACTACCTCGTTGGCCGAGTGGTCGCAAGTGCGACTGACGGGCAAGGGGTCTCGGGTTCGATTTCCAGGTCGGACTAAGTATTACTGGGTTTTTAAAAAATTCTCAGTAGTAACACAGAGTATGGAAATGCGTCCGGTATATGGCAATAGGTTCACTCCCTATTACTTGGGACTCATAACATAAATAGTGAAAAGTGGGTTTTACTTCTGTGTGCACCTCTGCCTACCCCTTCGGGGATAAAAGGCGTGATGCTATGTTATGAAAACTATAAAACTAATGAATTATGCTTCCTTATGTACCAGAAAAGTAGAAGATGGCTTCTAATGTAGACTCGTATTTGTTTCGCGGACGTGACCAAGTCAACTTTAATAAAATATGTATTTCAATTACTTGTATCTAGAACGCTGTAGGAAAATTTGTTATCCTGTCACGATTTACTAGATTTTGACGTATTTGTTACGTATAATTTAATAACGAATGAAGTTATAAAATTACCCATTAACAGTTGGAATTCGCGTGTCGATGACAAATTCTTACAATTTTAGTAATGAAAATGTTATTAATTTTCTGTTTCGTGACTCGTGGCGTACGTACGAGTTAACTGGCTTTCAGCTAATGATGATATGGTGCAAATGTAATCTTTCTTAAATATACTTTTTGATGTCCAATTTAATTATGTTTACAATATTAGAAGCAACGATGTCAGTTTTTCCTTGTTATTTATAGATTTTGCAATCAATATTTACTCAGAAAAATATTTTTTTGGGTATTTTTATTTATTAAGCATGTCTAATGTTATCAATTTTGATGAGGACATGGCCTTATTTTTATTGCAAGAGATAGCAGAGGTCGGGATTTTCCCGCTCCCGGACAAAACCCCTCGCTTAAAATTATTTGATTTGTAATTTTAATGTTTGGTTCAGGTGGTCCGTAAAGGCAAGAATGTTTTGCCCACGGTAGCCCGCTTGTGCCTCATCTCCACATTCCTCGAGGATGGTCTCCGCATGTGGTTCCAGTGGTCAGAGCAGCGCGACTACATGGACATGTCATGGGGCTGCGGCAAGATCCTCGCCACAATGTTTGTTGTAAGTACCACCACATATGTCCCAAAAATGTTCCTTAAACTCGCACACTTGCGTCAACATCAGAGATTCTACTAATTTATAGGCTCGAACACATCAGTCATTGCGAAACTGGCTTTTACTGTTCAGAGATAGATACCAATATCCATTGACATGACACTATTGAATCGTCGACAAAGTTCGCGGTTCATAGCATTGTTAAATATTGAAATTGTAAGTGAACAAGTACCCAGTTTATTTCTCAAGGTCGCGCTCATTATTTGTGTCAGATTTTGGTCATTAGAATTCCATCCGTACAATCACTAGGCGGGAAATACTAATCTTTTGGTAAACCCAGGCTCTTGTCAATGAGATATTTTAATTAATTATCATTCCTTATCATTATCGTATTTTTTTTTTCTATAAAACCCCGAGTCACTTATCAATAGGTTTGTTTAAACTTCAATACGTATCTGTAAAATATAGTATTTAAAGCATAAGTTGGGATTTTTTTACGATTTAGTCTGTACCAATCACACCTGAAGTGTTTGTCTTGCAATTTTCACATCATATGCTGAGATTTTTAACTGTTTATTTTGTTATTCTGAATGTGTGACTGTGAACGCATAAACGGAAATCATGATGAAATCTCAAAACAATCATCTTGTGTAGTAATTTTTTCTACTGATACATTTCTCTCTGCATCTGAAGTAATCCGAACTCTCTTACTACTGAGCATTTCAAAATCGAGCCCAAAATTAACCGCATCTAGTAGTCGCACTCAAGGCTAAGGGCTAAAACTCGAAAGTAGGGTTTTATTGGAATATCGCATCGATATTCCGATAGGTCTAGCCGTACGTGTATGTACGTTAGTAGACCTGTCTGTAGCAAAGATCCAGGCCTTCAAATGTGTACAATTAAGAGATAGCTAATTTAAATAGAGTGTTTATAAATTGCAGCGTGTGTTTGTAAGTGGAAACAATAATATAATTAGTTGGCACCACACCTGCTCTACATTGTATGCCACGTGTTTAGTCACACCACATATTACTAATTACTTATTGATATAATATTTATTTTGCATATTTTCATACTGTTACGAGCGCCAAAATTAACTGCAGCTTTTGTTCTTTAATTACACCATGCACGCTTCGTAAATTTTATTTATTTTTGTGAATATCGCGTTTTGTTCTGTTTATTTATTTTATCGAGTGTTGTGGAGACGATATTACCTTTTGGACATTGAAACCAAAACAAAAATTGATGTTATTGCCAAGTATGCTCGTTTTATTAGCTTATTAAAAAACACTGATTCATCATGTAAAGCGGGGGAATTAGGGACATCTTTCATCGACTAATATATTTTATTGTATTCTGAGAGAAGCAACGACACGATGATGTCGAATTATAAATTAATATTGTAACCATTATATTGTTGGAATTGTAATACAATTTACTCCTCAAAAAAGCCATTGATTAATGACTACTTATCAATACACGAGTAAATTATTTCATCGCCCCATCACCATAAGGGTGCATTGTTGCGAGATTTATTAATCTTGTGTGGCTGAATGAGTATGAACTGAAACTACTATACACGGCGATTCCCGGATTGACCAAGGTTCTTTAAACTGTACCATAATAAGTACTTGGAAATAATAGAGTATTAACTAGTTTGACTCTTAGTTTGGTTACTGTAATAATGTTAAGGATTTTTGTACACGCACTCTTATCGGGTTTAAAGGTTTACAATAAGCACTATGATTATTTTACACGAATATAAGTATGGTTTAGTATTAACCTGGTACCTACGCACCGTAATGTTCTTTTCTTCCTTTTAAAATCGTAACATATCCATAATTTCACGCTATTTTGGCGCACCACTTTCGTGCGTAGCTTTTTAATTACTATGTCGGTTTTACATAAAGAGTCTTTTGGAGTGTATCTAGTATATTCTACCGTTGCTACGTGCCCTACTAATGTAGGTCGCATACTTATTGTATAATTGTACTTTAATTAGGTAAGTGAGGAACGTATGTCGCCCGGCGGGGGATCTTTATGCCCCATAATGGGACAGACTTGACTATTATCTCGACGGTAATGTGATAAGAAATTATGGCTTTCTCATTGTCTCGTCCAACACAAGCGATTATGTTTTGGTTCATTCCTTGATCGGGCAAATCGATGTTTGCTTTTTAGTCAATTATACTCAAATGTCAATGTTATACGGAAAATGTGTTCATGCGTGACGACTGGTGACGCAAATAGGTCTGTCCTCTGATTCATAGGTAATTAAAACTGTAGGTACCGTACATTTTACTACTGTTACTATTCAACGAAAAACGAGACAGACGTTTTCTCAATCATCTGGATTATGTTCCCTCTGCCAAATGACTTGAATGTCTTCTTTTTCTACTAGAATAAGTAATCAAGCAAGTTTTGAATGTAAGTGACGATTAGTTTGGTTTTATTTACAGATAGTAAACTTAGTTGGACAGCTGGGCGGCTGTGTGATGGTGCTGGGCAGGCTCAAGGTGGACATTGCGTGTGGAGTACTATTCTTCATTGTTGTACTACAGGTGAGCATCCAGATATTGTATGATTGTGTGCCAATTACATGAAAGCTGCTGTACTGATATCTATAAATTGCAAGTGAGTTCGAGTTTAACGCAAAAAGTAATTATATCCTGTTCGTCCAGCAGGATATGTGGGTACAGCGTTAGTCTGTGTTAATTAGCGTAATCAATAATTTACATTGTCAACATAATAAAGTTGAAGAAAAACCAACTGGAAGTATTTGGATAAAATACCTAGATTTAAAGTATTATTTAAAAAATAAGGAAATTACACGAATCTTGTTCGTCGAATGTCGTTTTCCTATGTAGGCACCTAATGATGTTATTGTATTGTATGGAGATTCGTGGTAATGCGTTGACACGGTCGGTTGGCTTCAGGGTCGTTACCCCATCAAGACACAATGACCAATATTATTTTTAGTCGTAATTATTTTATCACTAATTTAAGTGCACGTCACGTTTCCTGTATCCATCAGTTTTTTACTGAAGGACAATGTCTTGTCACGATGACCTTGCATTTTTAATCGCCATGATGTGCGAATTTTTGTGCAGTTCCAGTTCCGCTATGATCAAATAGGTATTTACTGTCGCTTTACATGTTTTTTTGTTGGTACCTAAACAATCAGCTGATGTGCCTATTGTCAAGATATTTAGTCGGCTATCTGCGAGACGAATGAAACGCATTGAGCGTATATAATTTATTTGTCCGTTGATTCTAGCTGTCTTATGCATAATTTATGATGGTCGCTCTGGGTAGTTTACGACTTAATATCCATTAGTAAATTTATACTTAAGAATCTTGTACCATGTTTAATATAAATGAATTATGAACTAATTTGCTTCAGTGCTGATACCTAATCCATCTCTCTTCCAGACATTCGCCTACAGTATATTATGGGACATGCAATTCTTGCTCCGTAACCTGGCCCTTATTGGAGCCCTACTGCTAGTGGTGGCAGAGGCCCGTGCTGAAGGCCGCAGCCTCTTCGCCGGAGTACCGTCGCTCGGAGAGAACAAGCCGAAGACCTATTTGCAGCTCGCTGGCAGAATACTCCTAGCATTCATGTTCATCACGTTGTTGAGATTCGAGATTTCATTTTTACAGGTTAGTAGATGTTCCTAATATATATTTTGGTTGGCGAATTGAATTATTAACTAACTGCATGTCTACGACTGTCAGTTGCCATTCATACATAATTACATCGTATTGTATTGGTTTTGTAGGAAGTGTGTTGGATCATACTTTTGTAGAAAGTGAAATGTTGTTGACCAGGATGAAGTCAAGGAAAACTAGTATTTAAAACACAAAATTCTTAAAGTGCAATGCGAGGCTTACAAGCTTAGTTCATACAAATTGGGAATCAATGTGAAAATATCAAAATCACTCACTCCTACACATGTTATTAAGTTGATATTACTTAACATTTACATTTCACATGGTGACCTTTTTAATATTAATTAATTTAATATGTAAACTAGGTGACATATTCAGGTTGGCGAATCATTGAACACGTCTTCACATAAAGTATGCTAAGTTAACGAGTGACGTCATAATGTACGGTTGTCAGAATATTTTATTAATAGACGGCCGGCTTTTTTATTTGCATATTGGAATTACTTTCGATTTTTTACGGGGACGATTTTTTGTGGCGGTTTTGCTCAATGAATAATGATTTTAAATGAGAATGGACATAGCAAATATATAAACTTGTTACTTTTACAATATTGATAAACTCTTGCATTTGTTCTACGGGGTAGACAGAAATGAGTTGGCGTCACATAAATACCTAATTCTACAGGAAACCTAAAGTAGTCTTAGATATATCAATCGCTGCTCCCAGTCGTGCAGTCGTCTCCTGCATAAATTCACCGAAGTAAACGGCGAAATGAAAACTATAGTTTTTTTTTGTTCTCCTCTATTAATATCTTCTTATTTATTTCATTGCGGGATTCAAGACATGCATCCCTTGTCCCATACATGTCCCTGGGACGCGCTGGACTTCAGTGTTCCGGTATTTGAATGATTGTATCTACTGTAGATCCTGGCTACAGGATTTGCAGCGGTGTAGGGAGGCTGGGGTGGGCATGTCCTTTAAAAAAAAGTCTTAGATAGAATTGAAATCACGCATCTGACCATTTTCCTACATTTTATTACCAACAAAGATATCCAAGGTCATCGATAAATCCGGCAGGTAGTTCGCTATTATATATTAAATAATAGTGATCGGTTTCTAGCTTTTTTAAATTGTAGAACTCTTGAACAGGTTTACAAAAAATGTTTATTTAAATAAATCTTCTTCCGCGTATGCTGTGAATATCACTTGCTTTTTATAAAGCGTTTTTTAAAGAATCTCGCTATCGCTTATTGGCACTGTTCCTTACTAACTTGACGCACCATTATGTTTCTTCTGAAAATTCTTCCAAGAAAACAATCTCAAATTCTCAATTAGTTTTTGAACGTATTATTGTACTATGGTTCCTTTTGCCTGCAGTTTCATTTACATTGATTAAGTTTAGGAATGTCGTTGTAGCATTTTTTGGAAACTTTAAAAGATGTTTATTTCACGAGAATGTATGTAATATTTTCAGATAGTGCAAGACCTGCTGGGCAGTATCCTGATGATCTTGGTGACGGTGGGCTACCGTACCAAGCTGTCTGCTCTGATGCTGGTGGTGGTGCTCTCCGTGCTCAACCTGTACCACAACGCGTGGTGGACAGTACCCTCGTACAAGCCTCTCAGGGATTTCCTCAAATATGACTTCTTCCAGGTACAATATCGTTTCGGATCATACATAAAGTAGGACTTTTGGTTTGTTCAGATAATGTATCGGGAATAGAATGGCAAATGCCTTGACTATGTTGTTTATCTATTTTTGGCCCACATTTAGCGAAACCTTAATTCAATACGGCTTATAAGGTGGTGCAGCTTGTGCACAATGTATGTAAATAGTTGATTTTTTATTGTCTGTTTTCAGACCTTATCTGTGATCGGCGGTCTCCTTATGATCGTGTACTTGGGCCCGGGCGGTGTCAGTATGGACGAACACAAGAAGAAGTGGTAGAATCGCGACCGGTGTGTACAATGTATGCACATGTTAAAGACTATTGATATTTTAATCATAAGATGTTATGGTGCAAGAGGAAAGAAAAAATTTCATATAATTTGGTGTTTTTATGTGACAATCTGACTAGTCGGCGATATTGTGAACATTGAGCTTACTTCCATATCCTGTTCTGTTGTGCTATGGGCAGTTTGCTCTTACCTAGTTTAATATACAGGGTGCTCCACCAAGGCGTCTCAGTACGAATTATCTGACGCATTTGGACGATGTGAAGTTTATTTATTTTATTTAGTACAAACTTCCCTTCTTCTGATTGTGTCGGATTCATTTTTTGCTGATCTATTTCAACGGGACACTCTGTGTAGTAAGTTTTGTGGGACGAAGTCTTGTGCAAATAGTTTGTGTTAACCTAAGATGGTACTAGGTCGATTTATATAACGGCCCAGTTTACAGTGCGAAATGGTATTTATTTATAATACCAATTAAGTGAAAAAATATAATACGTATAAAACACTTCGTAAAATTAAATAAGGATTCTAGTCCTGCAAAATGATGTTGTATATATTTGAACTTTGTTATCATGATTTATATAATTATAATGCCCGCAAACTGCCCATAACCAAACAACAGTTGGTGTCATAACACAAAATTTTATATAAATGTGCACGTATTTGGTCGATCAATAAAGTATGGTAAGCAAATAGGTAACGACCCGGTCTATGACGTACGTTTTGATAATGAACTTATATAAACGCATTCATAATTTCTATATTGTCAATTTTTTATATTAGTAATTTAGTACTAGCACTGTTTAACAGATAGTGTTGTGAATCCCAAGACGCAGTAAGCATGGTTGCAGCATTGTATGGTCATGCTACTGCGATTATGTGCTCGATACTAGGTATGTGCTACGTTTTTCCCAATATTTTAAAAGCGCGTACTTGAGATGATGTGAGCTAGCTATGTTGACGAGTTGTAAGAACGCAAGTAGAAATATTCACAAGTTGCAACACGAGGCATCACAATGCGTCCCTGCGACGCAAACAATCAGTTTGCGATGTGAGTCGGGCGCATGTCTGTAGCACTCCAATCAATGCTGCGCTCAAGCGTGCCAAACCATAAACCCTTCCTTCCCGCGTAGACGTGATATTTTCTTAGCGATCCTCTCCTTTGCCTTTAAGTGTATCTACTCAGACTGAACCACTCCTGCTTTCATGCTCTTAACGCGTTACATTTTTCATTCCATTTTGTTTCTAATTGTTGTTATTCAATATAAATATTTATATGAAATTATATCTATTTTGTACTTACTGACTGAATAACAGACTACAGATCTTTGATTGTAAACACAAATGCTCTTTTTATGAATTTGAATATTCCAGTAGCCATAAGTGAAACTTTGGTATCACAATTCGAAGATTTGTGTTTCATCTACCTAACGAAATAATAAAATGTAGTCATATACAAAATAATTATTTGATTTATCAAAAGTATTTAAAAGACACATATTTTTGTATTATTTTTTATTTATTTTCTTAAGTTTCAGTTTGGCCATAGTTATAAAGATTCCTGAAAAGATTGGTCCGAATAAATTTTTATATAATAAAAATGTTTTATTTGTAAACTGTTTACATTGTTTCTCATATAAGACCCACCATTGAAGGATACGAGTTCATTGTACTCACTATTGTTATGTTGCATAGTAACATTATAAATGAAAAACGATTCGCTTAGTTGTGTAAAACATTTATTCTTTGTATAATTTGTTTGTATAATTATATTAATTGGACATCTACAGGTGAACACAACACATTGTGCGTCTATTCTTTCGCCTTTGCTCGTTCTTTGTCCTTAGTTTCTATATATTTGAACACTTTGTTGGCTAGCTGTCTATATTTCTCTGCGTGTATGCTGTCGGGCAGAGCGTATATCGCTGGCTTGCCGCTATTTATGCACTCTGACATGTTATGATCCACTTCGAAGCTCTCGATTATTTCGAGTCCCATTTGGTCTGCGGTTTGTTTAGTGTCGTTACCAAAAACAAAATTCTTCGTGCCACATTTGTAACAAATGGCGTGTGACATGTTTTCCACCATGCCGACAATAGGAACTTTTAGTTTCTCAAACATATTCACTCCTCTTTTCGTGACTTGTAGGGCTGCTGACTGGGGTGTGGTCACTACTAATGCTCCTGTAAAATTATTTTATCAAATTAATATAGATACACAGTTACATTACAGTAATAAATATGTAATGTTATCAATTTAAACACTTTACATTTCATTTCATTTCATACACAATATGTCACTTACCATCTATTGGCAAGTTCTGTGCAAGTGATAGATGTGTGTCTCCAGTGCCGGGCGGGGTGTCGACCACGAGGCAGTCTAACGGCCCCCACGCCACGTGTCTCGTCAGTCTGTCCAGCGCCTGCATCACCATCAGCCCCCGCCATACCACAGCATTTTCACCAGATACTAGCAGGCCCATTGACATACTAGAATGTGATAAAAATAAGTCAAGATGGAACAACTAGTTGAAAGATTCTCCATCATTAAACTGTCAAACACCAAGCGGTCACCGGTGACCGCAACCTATTGTTCTATAATTGTGTCTACAAAACCGGTACTCGACGAGTTAACCTGCCTTCCAATGGCTACACCTTACGAAAATTCCGTTACGGAAGTTTTGTTCTATTATAAATATTATGAGTTGCCATTGGACTCATGCATGTCTGTGGATAATCCTAGGCAGATAGTTCTAGATATTTCTCTTTACTTTATTTACTTAATTAACTTACATAATTTTTTACTTAATTAACTTACATTGCAATTTCAGATAACTTTTTATTTGTAACAGTGATAAGATAAAGTTATTATTAAGTTGTGTATTACCTAATCATTAGGTGTGCACATCAAAACATTACACAGATAAATAAGGGAACATATTTTGGTGTACTGAAAAAAATAGCAAAATTGCACTAACACACATAAAGTCCTATGCAGTACCTTGATGGACAATGTAACAATTGTGTTAATTTTTTATTCTCAGTAACTTAATTCATACCATTTGACACCATAGTTCAATAGCGGCTCAATCAGGTGATCATCATTCAGCATGGGCTCCCCACTGATGTTCATCATCAGGGGCACTGATGGACCAAATACATCAGCATCCAAGAGACCAATCTCCTTATCAGGCTCTATCACTTTCATGGCACATGCGAGATTCACTGCAATTAAAAAACAAATTGTATTTTAAACTGTCAAACACCAAGCGGTCACCGGTGACCGCAACCTATTGTTCTATAATTGTGTCTACAAAACCGGTAATCGACGAGTTAAAACTATGTAATGTATAATGGCATAACTATATTCAGCGTAATCTCTCTCTTTAGATTTAAAGATGAATAAAGATTTAATCTATCAAAATTAGAGCATAGTTTTTTCTCTTGATTCAGATTTCGATGATATCCCCAGTTATTGGGTTCCAATAGTGTTTTGAGTATATTGAACCATATAGTTCTCTATTTCTTATTATAGTTCTCTAGTATCTAAAAAAATGTTTTTAAAAAAGGATAGAAGCAATGTTGTGATATTTTAACCTATCTACTTACTGAAGACTCACAAGTCAGATTGATATGTTTCTATAGGAATATAACACTAGAGTATCTGTTAAATAGTACAAACCAGCAGTGGTGGTCTTCCCGACCCCTCCTTTTCCTGATGCAACTAGAATGATGCTCTTCACTCCTGGCAAGGGTTTCCTTTCTGGTAGCCCTTTAGCCATCACCTTAGCCCTGTGCTCGTTTACCTCTTCTTTTGTGTGTTTTAGGCGGACTGAATAACAACATGGTGCTGCCTGAAAACAAAGTAAATTACTACATTAGAGAGCACCGTAATTGACTGAAGGTCATACAAAATGAAGTGCACATGAATGAAGAGACAAAAATAGTAGCAAGTGATCCAACTGGTATACTTGTGATATTCATTATTACGACCCTTTATTATGGAATCCTCTACATGAATGTTTCGTTAGGTCGTGAGGAAAATGTACAAATATATAACCACCGTAATCCTTAAAATAACACGTTATTAAAAAAAAATATGATGAAATTGCACGTACCGTGTTCACATTAGTGTTCAACAAGACGCCGTAAACTCGCTGGAAAGCTCTTTGTAGGTTCATAACTGTTAGCCTCTACGTCTGTAAATAGACTTCTTATAAAATTAGCTTTATTGATTTGTAATTTGTACAGCTTTTTTCAAAATTCGTGAATAACTACGCAAATCGGTCGTTCAGAAATACAATGCCAAACAAATCGATCACGATCGTTTTATGTCAGTGTCAAATTTGACCAGTTTGACGTTTGACCACACGACATCGAACACGAGCACACGAGCACAGACAGCTTTTGCCACAGAACCCACAGATTATAATAAATATTGAATTATTTTCTTTACTTTTACAATATTTTAATTGCCGTTTGATTTAAGTAGGTAATCGTACAATTTATTAACAAGAGATTATACTAAGTAATGTATATTTTTGACGTTGCATATTTTTTTAACAAAATATAAATAAAAATGTGAAAAGCTGAACCAATCAAGTCTGTGCTAAAACAGATGTTCGAAAATTAAAAATAAACACAACTGTCAATCTCTTTGCGATATGTCGGGACTTTTTGCGACATATTTTCGAAAATTTTCGGAATTCCAAGCTATTTAGAGTGATAATCGTGCTTAAATAAAATGTCTATTTGCTTACGTACGATTTCTCAAAGAATATTGCCTATAAATGGCATCGTTTCCACCAAAAATCACTCAAGCCGCTTGTCTAGAAAAATCCCTCTGCGGACACAATTTCTGGAAGAAGTGAGTAATTTACATTGTTTTCTATAATACTGAATGTTATTGTCTCATGTTATGTTAGTTTTTGTATGAAACTTATTACATAATATGAGAAAAATACGCATTATTTATAACGCCAACAGTATTTTCCTCCTTGACATTGAACCAATTATAATATGCGGAATGAGATTTACCTATTCACGTGGTGCTAACACAGACTTTTTGACACTAACTATGTTGGGCAGTAAAGATTTCCATCTGGTAAAAATTTCTTCTCTTCAAGAATAACATGTAATTGCACCTTCAATAGGTTATATCTGTTACCATAAAGTAACTATAATTTTCAGGATAATAATATTTGAATAAATATCGTCCGATAACATTTTGTTTACAAACTTCCTAGTTTGTAATATTGCCTAGAACTTGGCATTTTACCAGCACATTAGGTTGTCTTATTAGACATTTTAAATTTAATTTATAAAATATTTTAGGTTAGAATATTATTAAAAGCATTATTTACTAGTTATCTATGGAATTAGGAGGCAAAGTATTTATTACCATAGATTAAACTGTTATCTGATTTTAGATTGGTTTACGATGAAATTGAGATATACATTACTACTGTTTAAATATTGATTTTAAATATATCACCAGAATCCTTACTATAAATATAGGCTTAATGTGTTCTTGTTTTCTTGATTTCAGTGAATAATGATCTAACATACACTGACTAATGGTTTAGTCTACTTCCTTATTAACCTTAAGGTTCTAAGTTTATACCGCAGGCATAAAATAGTTATTCTTTATTACTTTAGATTGTTATTTTATATTCCAATTTTTGGCCTCAATAAGTATTGAGTTGATAGTATATGATTGTTTCCAGTTCCTACATCGTCGACGCATATCCAGTTGTCAACTCGCTCCAAAATGTAGCACAGATAGCAACATCGACTATGTCTATGGTCACGATGAGGCTGTAATCAGCAGGCTCACGCACCAGGAATCCACATCTATCTATGATAATACAAAGCCTTCGGATGGAAGCAACTATTATGGGGACGATGTGGAGGTGAAGACCCTGGGACTGACATCGGATGATTACATAGAGAGGCGAATGCCTCCATACACATTCGATGTTCCATATACCAATATTAGTGATATTGACTTAACTAAATATAGTAATGTGAGTATTAATAAAAAAGGTGCTATAATATTTATTCTTATAAATCAAGTTTTAACTTTCCTTCCATGTCCATGAGTTCATCATTTCTTTTGGTAATTATCAAAAATGGACATTCTGTAATAGTTGTATAAATTGTTAAAATAAATATGTATTGTATTATGTTTTGTTTTGGGAATTTTATAATGAATCTTTTTGTTTTACAGGATATAGAACCGACCTGCCTCTCGGATTTTGAACGTGACGCGATCGCATACTGCCGCGGTACCGTATTGTCCAGTCCTATAAGCGCACCCGTCGTGGCGCCCAGCCGTGATGGCAAGCCCAATGAAGAACAACTCATGAAAGTGTACTACACACTCTCAGACACGGTCAGTATACATGACATTAAGTTAAATTATATAGTCGAAATGATGCAATGAACCGAAATCTCGAACATAATTCGTTAATGAAAGTACCGATTTTGTTAGTAGCATAAGAACAATTAGTCCTAAAATAATCTCAATGTCAAAAGTTGAACAAACTCAAATAATATTCATTTTCCAATTCTTCCAGATGCCAAATTTGTTTGTGAAGCCCCTGGACTACTCCATCTACCATCCTAACATGGTTTTTGTGAACAACATTAGGGGCACCACATCTGTGTAAGTAACTCTCTCATGAAGAATAAATTAACTATGTGAAATTGAAATTGAAAAGCAGTGCACCCTGTGTTCAATGTTCATAGTAAATTTTTTCCTGAAATGAAATATCATGTTGTATATATTTGTATATTATATGTTGGGGCCACATTCTACTCTCATGTTCATAGAATGAACAAGTTTTATATTTGGATTCATACTGATAAATGTTTGTTATTGTCATCCTGCAGAGGTCTATTCCACTACGTGAAGCAGGTGGCGCTGCTGCGTACAGTGGGCCACTTGAAGTTTGCCTACGTCAAGCTGGAAGTCATGAAGATCACGGCACATCCTGAGGACTCTTCTGTCAAGTGAGTAAAGTAATAGTCTGAGGATTATGTCATGTCGTCGTCAAGCGTCAGCCCACCAAATATAAAAAAAAAATATTTTAATATATAACAAATATTCTGGTAATTCTTGCTACTTTACCTTTACAATGAATAATATTATAATTGCCCATACAATATATCATAGTACTGGCTGCCACCAACCAGCAATGTTTTGTGCAGGATGAGATGGCGCATCAAGGGCATTTCCGGACTGAAAGTATTCTTTATGTTCTGGAAGTACAAGCTGTGGAACATGAAGGAGGTGTTCCGAGACCAGGAACTGTAAGTTTTCTAATTTAACTATGATTAATAGTAAGTCAACAAGTCAGTTGTTCATAGCAATAAATTTGTTTCCAATATTTAATTACATTTTTAATGATATTTACTTGCTAAAATTACTGGAGCAAAGTGTTAATTAATTTGTTTGTTTCACAGTTGGTATGACGGATTCTCCACATTCTATGTGGGTGCAGATGGACTGGTACAGAAACATGTTGTGGATAAGGTATTTAACTGATTCTATTTATCAACAACTTGACATAAATACATATATGAAATGAGTTTACTAACTTATTTTTTGAACTTATATCTCCAGGTAATGCCAGACCAGGACACAATAATAGATGACGAAGAGAAGGCTCCAATAGCCGCCAAAATAGCGCTTCTCATTGGCTTGCTGCCCCGAAACTACCTGTCCGACGTGTCACCCTACTTTAGCGCGTCACCAGGCACCGCCGATACTACGCCACTACCCTTCAAAGTACTAGAGTAAAGTGTTATATCTTATCATCGGGAAAACATACTTAGAGACAGGGCTCCTTCATCAATGAATGAAAGTAATTTAATTAGAGTTGTGGTTAATACCTCCAAAAAATGAACATTTCTAAGCAATGTACTGAATTTTGATACACATTCGATTACTGAAAGTGTAATTTGAAAAGTCAAGCAATTTTAATATAACTAGTAACATCTTTCTTGCTGAAGAATAAATTGTCTATATGAAGCGTCAGTGATGCACTTTATATAAACAACACTATTATTAACAACTTCCAGAAAGTTTAAGTTCAACTTCAATGGTTCATTAATCTGCCGTCACCACTATAGTCGGAAACGTACAGTATAGTCGACAACACTGTATTGGAGACTCGGTTGCTATTCTAGAAAGAAAGAAAACACACCTTAGTTAGGTCTCCATAGTTAATTACATCTTTAGAACTAATTCACAAAGCAAGTCGTTTATTTTTGTACATAAAAAAAAAACAATCTGTTAAATTATTGCTTTTGTGTGTCCGCTTCCATTTTCGAATGTTTGATCAATATTTGCATGTTCATACATTTTCATTAATTTATTGATATCAGATGCAAAACTTTTGCATCATTTTACTAGAACATTTTTTTCTATAAAATAATTAGACTAAAATAACGAAATTATTATGAATGTACTTCAGATTTTGATAGGTTCTTATTTATTTATTACGGATATTTTTGTTGACAAATGAGTTTTGTTCTCCACACTGCACTAGTTCGCAGTAACATTAGTTCGGCGTACACGTTTCAACTTCGGCAACGTGCAGTAACACATTAGTGATATTTTGATAACTGTGAATGCCTTGTATTAGTCTGTATAGATAATGTTATGTATTGCTATAATACAATAAAATGTGTCCATTATTCCGTTGTTTTGCTTTTTATTATTATTTTACATTACAGCATTGGTGCAATTAGCATGGTTTACAATTTAACATCTTTATATTGATTATGGTCTGTGATACTGATATCACAAGTCTACCCAGAAAAATAATGCAAAGAATATAATTAATGAATAGTACACCTTACACCCTAATTGCACTTGCCTTGAACATATTCTAATGGTTGCCATGATGATCTGTTGAATTTGTACAATTTTAGGGCAAAAACTAGTAGTGATTGTTGAAAAGAGATTTTTTATTAAATAATAACTAGTATAATGTGATAGTAAAAAAATGTAAAATTGTTGCTGTTATGTGGACGTGTTAAAGGTAAACAAGATTTTGTAAGTTTTTTATGTATACTGTCAAAAATACCTACCAATATAAAGGTAGACTTTTAAAATATTATTCTAGCAACACAGTTATTTCGCGGATCCCAAGATGAGTGAACGGATTTTTGTTGTCAAATATATTTTATAAAAATAAATATTTAATATTAATTTGCTTAATAGGAAGAAGATCCGTATTTTTACCGGAATTAAGTAGTGAAGAGTTCGGGTGTGAAGTTTTGTGTTATTTCCATTGATTTATTAGAGGTTTCTGTCTTGTTTTGTGGCTTCATTGTTTGAAATCCTCTCGGCTCGGCAAGAAAGAGGTCTAGGCTCCCGAGTTTGTTCGCGTGATGTCATGACTACGGTGAGTTTATCTTAACTGTTGAGTTTATTATGGATTGAATCATCTGGCGGGGGTCATTGTTCGTGTTCGTCGCCCGGGCGCCTGCCAATTGCTTTTAATTATTAGTGTTGCATCGAAGGCGCTGCGCGCGTGTCCCGTCTGTCCGTCACTGATCATATGGAATACTGCCAAGTCGGTCGTATCGCGTAACTAGTTTTCATTCAGTCGTTTTGAAATTCCTATTTTGAGTTTAATATTAACGAGTGTACTTGTGACTGCGTGAATTTGCTTAAGATCAATTATCCGTTTCTTGGGATTCCCAGTACGGCAGCCCTCAAGATAGTGAATGCGCCTGTTTGTATTGAAACTTTTGTTGTGGAGTGTTTTTGATTTGACTGTTTTCAGCCTACACTCATTTCATGTAAGTCTTAATTTATAAATTGCATCCCTTTGGTTTTCTTATAGATTTTTCATATATGTATATTCTTTGTTGCGTTAGGTCTATTATTTAGAATCAAGTTTCTCATTATATCATTATCAGTTCAAGACCTCAGGAGACTCATTGTCATAGTTTAAAAACACCTATTGTTACTTGTGACTCAAGGATAAGTAAAACTATGAAACTAAAAAGGGGACAACTAAAATGCGAATATAAATAATTGTAATCAACAAGCTTCTGTTTCCTTAAACAAATGCAGTTATCTGAGTCACAGTAACAAACATAGGAAAGTCCTGCTATCACCATGTTGCTCAATGTTTACATTCACAAAATAAGTGTTGTGATAATGAACAATAGATAGGAATTGTTGATTTTCTATTTTACTAGGTAAATAAGCTAATACTATATTTGTTTGACTTAATTCATAATTTTGCTCCATCTCTTAACATTTATGAAAGAAATGAAAATTTTAACTAAGTAATTTTACTGTGTCACGGGTATTCTTCAGTAAGAAAGGACTACCATTCGATATATTAACTGCAGCCTTGTAAACATGAAGCTACATTCAGAAGCATGTTATTCAATTGTACCAATTGAACATAAAGATCTTACAATACAGCTAAACTGTATTCATAACAGAGCAACTATAAAAATATATTATGGCTTCTCAAAACATAACAAACAAAATAAACATCTTTTTTATTATTATGCTGGCAACATTCCAATTGTGTTTAGATTTATATCCAGTCAATCCAGATGCTGAGAAGTAATATCATAATCATAGACAAAAAAAAACAATGAAAAAGTTTACAGCATAGAGGTTGAATGAAAACTCCTTTTTTCTTATGATAACAGATGATTCATGGCTATATCTATGTAGGTAGTGTGGGTTTCTAGTACAGTTAGAACAATAACTGGGTTAGTTAGCAATTAGCATACAAAGAACTGACCAGTTGCTGACTAAGACCTGCTTTATTATTTATGTACTTTCAATGGGTGTCTATGTGAATAGCCCTTTTCATCTTAGGTTGTTGAGTGTTTATATTTATTATTATTTGTGCCATATTTTAAATCTTTTCTCCTATCTATAGTTTTCCAGATTAATTGGTTACAATTTAATACAGTTAAACAATGCCATTATGTTGATTTATAATAATGACTAATGGCTGTTTATCTGGAAACGTAAGAATAAACTGTTTAGCTAATTGCCTGTTTAATTAAACAATTGACTAAATTAAGTAATGTTTTGAATAAATCAAACATTATTTATCATTATTTTATCTGTTTCATTGATTTAACTAAGTATATAGTTTTTTGTTATGTACATTTATTTACAGCCATATCTGTGATGGTATTTATTTTTCCATTGATTCTCATTTTTATACTACAAAAAGTACAAGACTAATTTGTTAAGAAATTCCCAATACGCGACAGAACGGAAATTGGCGTTTAACTTCAACATCTCGGTAATCAGGAATACGAAAATTGAATTTCATAGACAGATTCGTCACAGAAATAAAAAATACTGAACAAGACGATAAAAAAATGAGTAAATACCTATCTGCTTTTATCGCGCGCCATCAACTTGTCTCAAACCAGGAACTCATAATATAATGTACAGTAATATTTTTGTACTTTTTGTGTGTTGACTCCTAACAACAAAGTTTATTGTCCTCAAATTGGCGCCATTTAGCTCTTAGAACTTTTAGAACTATATAAAATATTCGCGATATTACTCTTAATAATATGAAGTGTACATAAACGGTTATTAATAAATAAAATAACCAAATCCGATTGTACCGAAATGGCTGCAAATATGTAGGTATGATTCATAGACGAAATTACCAGAATAAATATTTACGTATTTAGAATTGATTGATTGCTCTGTACTGAATTTGACGATGTTAGGAAAACGTGACTCTGCACCGATTTCGATTAGGCTGTATTATAGGACATTTTCCGAATACTACTCGTACACGTATGCATGCAACTTCTCCTTGAACAATCAACATCCTTGAAGAATTTATCTCCTTGAGGGATAAATTCTTGTGCCTGTCAGCAGGACATAAGTGTAAGTAGCATAGCTAAAAGGACAAAATATCGCAATCACAGTCTATTAACGGAATAAACATTTCTCATCTTAAAGTTAAGTCATCTTAGTTAAAGTCCAGAGGTCTTAAAATTATCGACTTCGACAAGTCTAGTATGACTTAAAATCGATGCTGTACGTTTAAAAATACAATGTACCCGTAAATACTTCCCAGCTTAGCAGTCGTAGATGATGAACTTCTTTGAAATGTCCTTACTCGCCAATGAATCAGAAGTAATCGTATTATACAGGTTCCGCATTCGCTATGACGTAATGCCTCTTCAATATTCAAAGAAAACTGATTCCTAAAAGACAATTTTAAC